ATTTTAGTAAGTGAGACTAGATTAAGAAACCTAAATATACTAAGTGACATATAAATCCGAACACCCAGTTTAAATGGTTTTATTTTAATAAAATTTTGTATAAGAACTTAATGAAGCATAATAAATAAATGATAAAAATTTCAAAATGATTGCACTGCTTTAAAGCCCTTTGACCTTTAATAATGTGTGGATGCACCCTGATGTGCTACGCATTCTCCAACGCGCCTAGGCATGCTTCTGATCAGGTGGTCAATGTCCTCCTGTGGTATCTCATTCCAGGCAACCACCAACTCCTCTCGAAGTGCTTCTAGAGTCTGAGGAGGACGTTGCAAATTGAGCAATCTCCTACCCATCATATCCCACACGTCCTCAATTGGGGATAAGTCGGGAGATCTTGGTGGCCATGGTAACAATGTGACATCATTATGTTGAAAGAAGTCTATTGTGACTCTTGCAACATGTGGTCGGGCATTATCTTGTTGGAAAGTTAGATCTGCCAGGGTGTCAAGATAGGGTAAAAGATGGGGTTCTAGAACTTCGTGGATATAACGCTGCGCGTTCATGTTACCTCTGATGAAGATTAAAGGTGACCTGGAACCATAAGCTATAGCACCCCAAACCATAACTCCAACAGTGTGATGAACATGTCTTTCAACAAAAAACTGTGGATTCCTCCTTTCACCACGTCGCCTTCTAACCCTGGCACGACCATCGTGCATGCCTAAACAAAATCGAGACTCGTCACTAAAGACAATAAATACTGTTCCATTCCTGATCCCAGAGTGACCGTTGTCTGCACCACTCAAGGCGATTACGTCGGTGTTCTCGAGTTAAAGGGAGGACCCAGTGTGGCCAGTATGAAAACAAGCCAAAACTTCTCATTCGTCGGTAAACACTTCGCATGCCAATAGGTCTTCCGTGTTCTGCAAACCATTCATTTGCAATGGACCTGGTAGTGGAGAAACGGTCCCTTAAGGCCAATAATCTTAGGCGGCGATCTTCACGGTCTGTTGTTCTACGGCGGCGTCCAGTGCCCCTTGCGCTTTGCGTACGGCCTTCTCGAAGCCATGCCTGACAACACCTAACCACAGTGTCTACACTTCTTTGCACTCTAACTGCAATTGCGCGAAAAGAAAGTCCAGCTTCCCGAAGTCCCACTATACGGCCCCTATCAAACTCACTAAGTTGACGAAATCGTACAGGTCTCCGTACTCTAGGCATCGTAACCGATCGTAAAGGATGTCAAGAACCAAAATCCGCCAACGTTGATTTTTTACTGCGGCTGAAATATTCATTTGTAGAATGTTAGTGAATTAAAAAAAAGCAGTATAAAAACCGGAATGTCCAACTGATAAGGCTGAAAATTTTTTCACTTGTTATTTACAGTAAGATAAATACATTCACCAACTTTTATTAAAATAAAACCATTTAAACTGGGTGTTCGGATTTATATGTCACTTAGTATAGAAGAGCAAATTACTAGAGTATAGTTCCAATGTCACTTCTCAGTGATGTCTGGCTTTTCACCTCGGCATGCTTTCAGGGACGTAGCTATACTGATTAACACATCAGATATTTCCGTTGCTCTGCAGGTCTATTTGTCTGCTAGCCCTTAGCCGTCTATAACTTGGAAAGTACCAGTAGGATTTTGATCAAATCTTTACAAAGTTAGTACTAGGCTAACGACGTGAAAGCCTTATAGTTTTTGGAAATGGGTCCAGTGGAGGCGGAGATAGGAATAAAAATAAAAAAGTAATTAAAATTGCTCTAGCCTTTGCATCTCTGGTATCCGAGTTAGACCGATGCCTTTTAAAAAAATACGAGACTTTACTATTGTGATGTCTACGTAAAATCCCACATGCAAGTACTTCACCTACAAACGGAGACTATAGAGGAACAGTTAAGTGGCAACTAATGTACAACTTATCGCCACTACTATCCTCGTGTAGACCTGCCTTTAGGATATTTGGTTCGTACTGGTAATGCAATATTCATCGCAGTAGTATTTTTAATAAAATCGGGCGGAGCGAAGTCGAAAATACGACCCCTAGGAGAACTTCTCTCACTATGAATTCGGAATTAATTTAGCAGAAGAGTGTTTAACTGAAGCAGCAGAGAAGTAAATATACTCTAGGAGGGTAGATTTTGTATATTAAGGCGGAGATATAACGGAGAGCCTGGCAAGGCGCGAGTACATCTAACGCCTATAAATTTATTGGGTACGTGAGTATAATAAATTCAATAGACTGTAAGATGCGCTATTATGCGATGAGAAATATTTTTCATGAGACGACCTGCGAGAAAATTCGCTAGATGCTTGCTCAACTGCCAGACAAAATCAAATCAATTAGAACCAATCTGTTTCCATTGTGCCTTCAACCATTACGCAACAGAAAAACATGCTTATAAAAAAGAAATCAAACATACATAAAGAGCTTATACATAATAGTGTCATTAAGGACTAATCTAACTCGGTGGTAAAAGCGAAATAAATTTATAGTTATGTCATATTTATCAGATTTTTTATAGATACTTAGAAAATTATTTATGTGTGTCTCCAAGTCTTACTTACAGATTAATGTTTAATGTAGGTAACCCTTCCGAATCAGTTTGGTTTTGTCTACTATTTTTGTATTCCTTAATCATTATTCTGAGATATTTTGATTCCTTGATGCATAAGGCAGCAGTAATCATATAAATCCTAAAATGCCGTTTAGCCTTCAAATTGTATATTGTAATGTTCAAATCTCTTAAACATAAATTGCATCACCATGAATTAATATCCAAAAGTATAATCCCGATGAGTTCCAAACGAACAAGTTGTTGATTCTCCACACTTATAACGCGATGTACGTGCTTTGAAAAATATGTTAATTTAATCGCAAAACCAGATGAAATTGATAGTTCCGTCCAATTTGATAAACTGAAATTTCTGGTAATCAATTTGCCAATTTTGACACGTTGGTAAACACGATACGGCTGTATAATTTGATAGCTGTGCCAGTTTTATTCTGTTTTGATGGACTTAACGGCGCTCTCACAGTCAAGCAGAGTTTCTGAGGGGTATCGGGGGGGTGATAGGGAAATGCTAGTAGGACGGCGTTGTGACAAGGCAAGCGCTCTACGTTAGAAAAGGATAGTAATACGCAGAGGTGTGCTGTTCGCGTGCCTGGTTGAATTTGCATATTGCACAGAGTCGCATTTGATTTGGATATACGATCTAGCGTACGACTGTTTCCCTATTTTGGCGCATAGTATACCCAGCCCTTATTACTCTTATTACCGTTAGTGTATTGTTGTATTATCGTGTTGTTATTGTTGTGTTGTTATTGTTTTGTTGTTATTGTTGAGTGTCTTTCTTACCAAGGTGTCAAAAATGAACAATAAGAGAAATAAACGTGGCGTCTCGAAGAAGCCGCATTTAAATACGCACAGGAAAAAAAGACGTTTTCCAGATAGAAAGGTAGGCCAAAACAATTATTTTTTATTTATTAGCATTCATTTTGCCAATAAATTAGACTATACGTAGTTACTATTATAACTATATTTTATGTTATTTTAGCTTAAAAATGACAGCAAGGTTTCGCATATGCATTCTCTAACAGAGACAGATGGCATGGATCTTCAAATTCAGGTGTGTATACCCTTTTTTAGGATATATTTTTACTTTTTTAGTAAGATATTTATGAAACTTTATTGTAGAAAGAAGAAGCGGTCGTTTCACAGACAACCATGGAAACACAATTAGAGGAATCCAACCGTCAAACTGAAGTAAGTCCATTTTCATCAGTATGTATGATTTGTATGTATGTTTTTCAATCAAAGTGCTATATAATGAGTTCGTTACTTCCCACACATAAGCATTCAGTGTTTTCATGTATGGGCTTCCGTCTCTGGGGCGACGGATTCGGACATATTCGGTGAGCTGCTGATAGTGACGATGTGAGTTTTCCGTTTCGGGGATGGACGCAGGGGCAGGGGGGAGTACTAGTGCCAGTGTGGAAAAGGGACGGGACTGGGCGCCATCTTAGTCAATTTTTCTTAATGGAATGAGTTTTCTTGAGATATCTTATCTTGAAGCTCTTTATTTTTATTCTAAAATATATTGTCCGCGTATAGATTAAATAATCCGAAATTTCATCATGCTTACTCCGATCAAAATTAACTTGTAGGACCTTTTTCAAAAGCACTGTATATAAGCGGTAAGTTTTGTGTGGGCTAGATCGATAACGGTGTTATTATTAGGTTATTTTTTTATATTCAAGCTAACACGCAGGTCTTACAGGGAAGGGGGAAACATCACACAGACTCCAGCGAATTAGCAAACAGCGCACATCATGACCCCACTTAAGAGACCCGCCGGGTAGTACCTCCATGTTATTCGATGGTCCATGACCGTCTACCACCTACGAGATACCTATAAGATATATCAGAATATATATGCTTGACACTCGAATATCCCGCTATTCAGAGAATGATCTATAATTACGAGTACAAGGAAACACTGTGTTTTTTTAATGGATTGACATATATTTTAGTACAGTATGAAAGGTTTTTTCAGTAAAGGAGGTGAAATGCTTTAGGGTTTGTATTGCTACTTCGGCGGCTGATTTTTTTTTGCATTATATGTAGTATTCCGCGTATACATCGTGGTTGAAAACGTAAAATGTACATTTTCTCAAAAAATTGAAATGGAATGTCCTGTATTTTTGTATGACTTTAAATTGTCCTTTTTGTGTATAAATGTATTTAAAAATCATTCTAATTAAAATTCTTGTGATTTATCATTGTAGTATATTTTCAGCAAACTATCGAATGCACCAATCATCACGAAGACATTCTTGTAGGACGTCGAATAGTAGATGTAAATTTTTTTTTCAAATCACTTCTGGAAATCTCTCAACATTCGGCAAACTTTGGATGTACCTTGGGAAACCTAATTTTCCTTGAAGAGAAAAGAGAGGGCTTGATTTCTACCTATTTTGTGAAGTGCAATATGTGCAATGCAACATTCAACCTCCACACGTCCGAAAGCAACATCAACAGGGATGCTGTGTTAGCAATGATGAACATTGGTTCGGGTTTTACGCATCTTGAACAGATAACGGCAACCCTTGATATGCCCTGTATGTCAACCAGAATGTATGACAAGTTGCACGATGAGATATGTGAAGCTTGGGAGCAGACAAGCGTAGAAACGATGAAAAATGCACCAGATGAAGAAAAGGCGCTCGCAGTGACTGATGGACAAGTGGATGCAAATGGGGTTCCGCTAATAACTGTGGTAGCTGATGGAAGTTGGGCAAAAAGATCCTACCATTCTAATTACAGCTCCTTGTCTGGTGCCGCTGCCATAATCGGCTACAAAACGAAAAAGGTCCTTTTTCTAGGAGTAAGAAATAAGTATTGCACCATTTGCAAGATAGCCGAGAGGGCCAATATGTCTCTAACTAAGCCACACAAATGTTTTAAAAATTGGACTGGTTCATCAAGCAGTATGGAGGCCGACATAATTGCGGAAGGCTTTTCTAAGAGCTTGGAGATGTATGGCCTAATATATGACAAGTTGATTGCTGACGGTGATAGTAACTGCTACAAACGAGTTCTCGACGCTCATCCGTATGAAGATGTCATAGTAGAAAAAATTGAATGTAAAAATCATCTGCTGAGGAATTACTCGAGGAAAATCCGAGATCTAATCAAGGATACTTCAGCAGGACCTCTTGTTTTGCGTAAGCAGATTCAGGTGTGTGGAGCCGACACAGATGTGCTTTTTCATTTTAATTTTATTCATCCTCATAGATGTACGAAATGTATTTCTGAATTTAAAAAACAACATTAATTTGCAGAAGATAGTACTTTAGCTGTTTCATGAAATATACTAAATAATATTATTTTTAGCAAAATCAATTAAAACTACGATGGGCAATCAGTAAAGCCGTGTCCTATCGGAAAAGTGAAAATATAGAATTTACTCAAAAAGTAGAGGGCTTAAAAAAGGATATACAAAACTCCATTAGCCATATATTTGGTGAGCATAAGGACTGCCAAAACATACGTTACTTTTGCAATAAGCCATATGTTGCACATGGAACCACGATGAGTGATCTGAAAATGACAGGTAGGGTTGTGTTATAAATGGGAAATATATTGACACAGTACTTTCCATGCATCAATATGATAATTACGCGAAAGATACAGCGTTGGCCTATTGGATGCATGTTTAATAGCAACTTGGTTTTATTCCATATTTTTTTTTAGATTTGCACCAGAGGCTGATATCATTTCTGGCAATTCTGATTAAAAATGCAGTAAGTTTACTTCATGATGTCGATAATAATATTGTAGAGCAGTTTAACTCAATCATAGCTAAATTCATTGGGGGTAAACGGATTAATTATTGCAAGAAGAGATCCTACCAAGGAAGATGTGCTGCAGCCGTAGTGAGCCACAATACACAGCGGCCTGTTTGTGTGATCCAAAAGCGGCTACTCCCTAGTTTCAGTCCAACCTCTTTGATTGCCAAAGTTGAAGAAAAGAGAGCGCACAAAAATCTGAAAAGGAACCTGAAACCAAGGAAAATTAAAATCAGAGATAGTGATACTAAAGAGAACGCATCCTATGGGGAATTCTGTGAGAAGCCTGACATGAGCAACGAAGATATAGAGGCTGCCAAGGTGGAATTCTTGAAAAAACTTGTAAAAACCGACTCCGAAATTTCCCAGATCGAGCAAGCCACAAAATCTCAGGATTGCAATTTGTGGCGTCTTCATCGAAGAATGAGGTTGACTGCGTCTCGGTTTGGTGAGGTTTGTAGAAGAAGAGATACAACAAGTTGCAGAGCTCTAGTAAACGCCATAATATACCCAACCGAATTCTTTAGCAAGGCATGTGACTATGGAAAAAAGCATGAAAGCGTGGCAAAAGCAGAAATAGAGAAGTCATATTCGCAATCAGAAGTACAATCTTGCGGGTTGTTTATTGATAGGACCCATCCATTTCTGGCAGCATCGCCAGATGGTTTGATAGGCGAAAAAGGTCTGCTAGAAATTAAATGTCCATGGTCGGTTAGAGAAATGACCCCTGAAGAGGGGATTCTGAACAAAAAAATTACGTTTTGGATAAACGATGAAATAAATAAAAAACATAAGTGGTATTACCAAATTCAAGGGCAGCTACACGTTGCACAAAGAGAGTACTGTGTGCTTGGTGTTTGGACCCCGTATGGCTTGAAAATAGACGTCATTCAAAGGGATGACGTTTTCTGGAAAAATGAAATGGAAGAGAAATTGAAATTTTTCTACATGAACTGCTTGCTCCCAGAACTGGTCGATCCCAGGAAAAGCAGAAATATGCCAATCCGCGATCCCGATGCGATCTTGAAGGCACAAGAGAACCGTTTGAACAAGAAAAAGAGTTCTTGAGAATTGGCTATTTTTGCTGTACTCGGGTACCAAAATGGAAGAGATTAGCATATTACATTGTACGCCGTTACTAACCCCTTCGTGTCGGCAAATGCGGTGTGCAGATCTCGCATTAGCAGCGATGTGCGAGATGTTATGCTAATTTCTTCCATTTTGGTACTAGTACCAGACCTTCACTATTTATTGTATATTATGTATATATTGTTTATTTAAGTAAAAGTCAATCGTCAGGCTCAATAGCACGTAGCATCGGCTAGCTTTATCGAGTCTGTTAGATCGAGAATATTGAAATGTCACATTGACACGTTAAGCGCCACAGTAGAATCTGAAAATCCAGTCCACTGGGAAAAACTGTTATTATTGTCAAATTAGCTTGTTTTAAGTTTCGGTTTAATATTTTGACTTGACTTTTTTCTCAAATCCTATGATTTTTCCCCTTTTTGATTTTTTTTCTGAGGTACTAGTTGTATTTCGCGTGGCCCACAGACCAGTCGGGTCGCGTGGCACATAAGTCGCGTCGCGTTTTTTGCAAGTCAAGACTTGCATCATGTCGCGCGTTGAGCACTATTTCGTGTCATTTATTATTGATGCGTTGTTCTTATTGTACGTCATCTTGTCCAAATTGCTTTACTGTTTATAAACTATTGAATACCAAATTTAGTGATGTCGCATTACGAAGCGGAGCAAAAAAGGCTTGAACAATTGTGGAATGAAATACTATCGGATGAAGAGAGTGGCAGTAGTGAGTTATGTGGGGATGTATACTTATCTGATGCGTATTCTGCAAGTGGTAGCGAATCAGATAGTAGTTGTAGTAATTCTTCCATATTTATCTGTATTACTGTTTATTTATACCGTTATTTTGTTTATTCCTGCATAAGACTTTATCAATCTGTTTAGTTTATAAGAGTTCCTCCATATTTGTGTTCGTTAGAATATCGACATTTACTATAACTTACTGATTTGCTGTGAAATTACTTTGTTCATTTTTTAATGAGAATGTCTGATTATTTTATAAGATTTGCTTTTTGTTTTAGATTTGTAGAATATCCTCTTTTTGTAAAACTCTATAAGCAACGTGTTTTTTAATGTTGTCATTTCCAATTGAGTATAATTTGGTCCCTCAGGCCACGGACTCTTGGTTCCCGTAAGAAAATCACATCAGCATGGCACACGTCTTACGTTACGCGGCCAAATATAACTGCCAGCAGTGAGACATATCATGTGTGTCACGAGGTCCAAAGTGCCAAATGAGGTGCGACACACGCATTATATCTCATGATGCTTATCGTGTTAAGTTTATTTTACGATACTTCATAAGGTTAAAGCTAAACAGCAAGTGACATTTTATTTGTGTTAAATGCGTTCACTATAATTATTATTTTTAACTAAAAAGATTACCGCCTCCAATGACCCTGGAACCACCTGGAAGCTTTTGGTCGCAAACTTCTGTATTTTACCACACATGTCTTTTCATTTGATATGTAAATTGGGGGTTTTGTACAAACATATTATGTAACTCGCAATTTCGAAACGGCGGCAATCTTGGAATAAAATTTTTAGTGAAGTACTGTATTCTACAAGGCGACGACTCTTATTTGAGATATTAGCAAGTATGTTATCCGCCATTTTGTGACGGCCGCCATCTTGATCTGAAACTGTTTTCGTATTACTGTTTTGTAGAAGTGCTTCCATTTGATATCCATATTGGGGTGATTGAACAAAAATGATTTTTTGTGGGATCACCTCTGAAGCATGGGCTATTGTATAAAAAGAAATTATCAAAATCGATAAAAAATTTCCCCTCTTTCATTGAAGTCTATTAAAAATGTCACTTACTGGTCCGATGTTTATCTCGAACGACCGACGTCAAAACTGCTACTGTTTAACTTGGGACAACAAATTATCTGAATACGTCTTTTCTTAGTCCGTACACACCGCCGCGTTGCTTCGACTGGCAGCACGAGATAGTGGGTAAAATTCGTGTAAAAGCCTATTTGCAGAGGTTTTCGCGCTTCAAAATTCAGGCTTCATTTTTGAATATTTTGAATGAAATTTTCACAGTGCACTAAAAACAAGACTCCACAGGGTGCTATAGAGCCACTTTTTCGTTTTTTCCTCTGAGTTATTTTTAAAAAAATCGAGAAGTTGAACAAAAATTATCTGCACTTCCACCCACCATAACTCTTGAACAATTTTTTTTTTAGAAAAGTGGCTCTATAGCACCCTGCACAATTGTCTTCTGAACATACTGTATAAATTTTATTCAAATATATAGAAAAATGGAGCGTCAATTCCGAAGCAGCTAAACCCTTGTAAATGGCCTGAAACTCACTGCGTCGGAGCCGCCTTAACGAAGGCTTTTATAAAATGTTATTAGTAGGTATTTTCAAAGCGGATAGCTCGCGTGCAAGTGACTGAATTCGTTTGTTTTTCAGTAGTTTGTGCATGGCATTTTTCATTCGGAGTAATTTGCTTCCGACACGGCACTTCCTTTCTTCTATCGACTGGATGATGTTTTGACGACTCGGCAATTTTTCTTGCATTAGTCACACTTCGCGTAAAGAGCCCTACGGGTAAATATTAATTACTTCAAGTATCAATACCAGAAGCAGTATTTACTAGTAAGAGTAAAAAAACAAGCATTAGTAGGTTAATTTTTGTATTGATGAGTCAAATTTGATTGTCTTTTGGCATTGATTTTGACTTGCCGTAATACAGACTCTTCTATACTTGAAAATTATTTTCTACTTTTTAGTTAGACTTGCTACCTGACTGACTAAGAGTGTTTTCTTTTAATTTTTTTTAAGCTTCATATGGTTTACACCAAAGCTATGCACGGAAAATATTCAGGAAAGTGGCTTTGATAACATAATATACTGCTGGATACTTGAGGTGTTGGTATTATTCAAGAAAATATAAAGGAAACATGATTGGAAATTACATTACTACCAAATGAGCAACTGGCATGGCATCACCGAAAACCAATACTAAAGGAGATTCTTTTTCTCAGTATTCGTGAAGGAAACATGTTATCATGCGTGTTGGATGTAGCTCTGCATCTAATTATCTGATTAAGTGATAAATGGAAATTAAACTCTAACTTGTCGCTAACTGTAGGTTTTATAATCTTCTTAAATTGTCTATCCTCCGGAGATAATCCTTATGACGCATTGTGTCTTTCTCGTTACTGTGGTAAGCCAGTGACGTAACACTAATATCCAAATTCCACATCAGATCCTACCTAGTTTCCTCATATTCCTAAGAGGGCACGACGCCGTAACTCATAAAACCGCTCATTAATGTTAAATAATGGGCAGTAAATACTGGCTGTATGTCTCATTACCGCTTAATGACATCACTTATGTCATTATGCAAAGTCGAATTAATAAAACGAGCAAAGTTTCTAAATTTTGCTATTGGAAATTATAGTTTATATGCACTGCTGCACTTTATGTGCTTATAGTGGAACTGATTGCTAAACTGCTTGAAGCAATAAACTATAAATAAATGAAATTCTTCTCTCGTAGTATTTTTGTCACTCCTAACCTGAGAAATTGCCATTATTTAATGCATTCCTTAAGAGGAAGCTCGATTTCTCCCCCTAATTAAATAGTGATATTGAAAAAATCACTAGGTAAATATTCAATTTGTGGATTCATATAGCTTTCTTGTTGGGCATAAGATTCTTATTGCTAAACCCTTTATCCGTTGTTGAACATCACTTATAACTATATTGTCTTTTTCACGAGTATCCGTTACGGTAAAATACGAGTAGCACCTGATTATCTAGTGATATTTCAAAATTCCCGGATCGACAAGTGATACAAAATTCTGACGGATCCGTCAGCGCCATATAGACAGAACCATATTGTTATCTTTTTGTACGATGCGGATTGATTTTGTACTTCCTACCAACTCTATTATTAATGAAAGCTCCTTCGCATTCAACAAATAACGTTACAAGCAAGTTTTACTAAATCTACGCCCGACTCACGTTACAGACTAATACAAAGATGCCACTTGCTGATCATCTGTTCACCTCACTAGACATCAAAACGTGATGGATACTCCTGAAATAGGATTTAGTTAATTAAAAGTCGATAAAGAGTAGATTTTATAACTAGAATTGTTGTTGTATTTATTTATCCCATTATTTTGACTTTATGACGTAAACGGCGGCGCCCCTCTCTTTTGAACCGTGACGGTGATGCCGGGTGTTCAGAAAATTATCAGATTTGCTATATTTCTGAGTGTAACCAAAATAAATGTGGTCATCCGATATACTTAGGGTGGATTTTACCAGGATTGTCAAATCAACAGTCCGTTGTGCTCCACCTATAGGGTAACAGTCCGTCAAATACAGCGAATGAGCTTCAAGTTCCAGTCAACAAATTTTAGCAACCAATAGCTATGAAACGTTGAAAACAAAATACTGTCAAAGTACGAGATGACAGCTTGTCATTGAAACATCACCAGCTTATTGAATATTAAGGAATTACATATAATTTGGTCAAAATTTAATTTTTTTAATAAATTTCATGTTTTTATTTGATATTGTCGATTGTTTATTCATGTCTATATTCTTTCCTTCAATTGATATGCGATTTTACTGATTCAACATCACCTACCGTGTGTGTTCTTTTCCTATAAACCTCTTGCACGTAGCCATTAAGCACCTACTTGATGAAAGGCTCTACCAAATATTTCATAGATATTGCTCGTTTCCACACATTCATTTACTTGCCGTTTATCAGTACCATTATAGCACCGTCGATTGATACTCCCACAAAACGGTTCAGGATTTTTGATATCCATACATCCATAGTCCAATATTTTTTGGTGAACAAACATCCAAACTATATTTACAGCGATTAAGAAATACTGAAATATATGTCGTAAAGCAAACTTAAGACCTGCAAAAAAAATAGAATTTGCAATAACTTTCTTGTTTCATTGAGTACACATTGTAGTTTATCCAATTCCCTATATTCCAAGGGACCGTATGGGTAAGCGATTTTTTCGGTCGTTTTTGTTCCAGGATTCGAAAATAGTGCTGTCACGTCATTTCATTCATATTTTGATATACTACGGAAACGACAACGATGCATGCACTAGTATTCTCAATAATCTACGACTGAGATATTCTGTTCAAAATGCTGATTTAATGCGTACCAGATCAGCATTGAGAGCTAGAATTCATAAGATATGCCCGCTTTATGGGACTCCTGCTTGAATTATTAAATTATAACTACTTATATATTCCATACTATCATAAATTGCGTCTTGGTATCGGCGGATTAAAAATTATCATCGACTTTCCTTTTTGCAGTTTTGAAAAATCTCGCGTAGCCGCATGTCGGTTTCATTAATGAAATATTTATTTTCATTATTATACTTTCAAATTGCGGAGAGTCCGTATGCTCATTAGCAATCTCCGTGTAGCAAACAGACTAAATAAACTGTAACAGGGAACATGTTTTTGATTATAAACTTGAAATGGCAGATCGTTATGAGAACATAATGTGGAAAATTATAGAGGCAGACTAACATTGCGCTGGTTAAATTTTCTCAGTAACTGTCTCTCAGCGTCTGGTATACAAAGGCCATTAAAATGCATAAAGCCGATGACAGAAGCAATGCCAATGATAGCTATAATTGCATTATGAACTGGTTTTCACCGTATCGGCCACGGAATAGGACTAGATCCAGTTACATTAAAATATAAGTTATAGAAACATATTTTAAACCATTTTTACGCATTTGATTAGTGCATTACTACAAATGATTGTAACATACATAATTAGATATACCTATTTATAGAACATCATTATCTAATGGAACTATCTGTTGAATTTGCTGCTGCTGAGTTGGAAAATGAGTTATCTGTTTATAGCGAGAAAATACAATCATAAACCTTCCCCACTTTTTCTTGATTTTAGGTGCTCTAACTTGGAACAACCATTAATCACCATTTGCAAAACACCTACTTAGAGCTCACCACATGGCGAGCAATAACAACAAATCAACTGCACTTCATAACTGTAGTAAAATACATGACTTCAACATGGAAGCATTAAAGATTCAAAAAGATTTGAAAAAACTCTTTTCTTACATCGTGGGAGATGAGCAGGTCTCACAAGTTGTTAAGTGATATGTTAATGAATGAAATAATGTAAGGCAGGTTCTCGTCATGGAGAGAATAGAAAATGAAATGGAAACAATGACGAAAGAAAAGAAAGTTCAAGTGTGCACTGGAAAATAAAAAAAAACATACAGAAACCTGGTCATTCTAGTGGTTCATTGTTTGTTTACTTTATTTGTATATCAAATAGTGCTCAAAATTGGCAGAATATATATTTTTCACGATTAGTGGGCTACTTAAAGCCCGCCACTCACGATCCAACGCCGCAGTACGACTTTGTCGAAAATTGGATAAGGACACACATGTAACGATTTTGCAGTACGAGTTTTGATTTGAAACACAGCCGATGAAAATCTAGTTTTAGCGGCTTTTGCATGTTGTATTACTAAAAGTAAAAAGAGAAATAAAAAGCGTAGACGATGGTGTAAAAATTGGTTTCGTAAACGGCATAAGCCGATTTTATTTTCCAAAGGCTCTTTATATAATTCAAAAAATTCTCTTAAAAAATCCTCATTGTAAGCAATTTCGATAAATATGCAAAGGCCGAGAAATATTATTAGAAAGTGCCAAATTTAGGTTGTTTTTACGTGTGCTTTGCTGTTTGCCGAACCGAAATCAGACAATGGAATCACACATTACAATACACGATCAAATAAACGATTCAACCAACAGTGTTGTATTGCTGCAGACTGACTTGTTTGTCTGCGGTCAAATCGTACCGACTTGATTGGATAATAAAAATACACGATCAAATTGCGTTCGATTTTGTCGCATTCGACAAAACCGTACTGCGGCGTTGGATCGTGAGAGGCGGGCTTTGTATCCACAGCGTTTTTTATAATAAAAAAGATGTTCACCGGAAACGTGGCTAGGAATTAGTGGGCTATGACTAAGTGTCATTACATGACCCTGTAATAATTTGGGCGTTCCAAAAGTAGAGTTACACGTAGTAGTACTCCAGAGAAGAGTCCCATCTGTCAATCTAAATTCCATAACTGCGTACGGTATTACACTAAGTGACATATAAATCCGAACACCCAGTTTAAATAGTTTTATTTTAATAAAAGTTGGTGAATGTATCTATTTTACTGTAAATAACAAGTGAAAAAATTTTCAGCCTTATCAGTTGGACATTCCGGTTTTTATACTGCTTTTTCTTAATTCACTAACGCTCTAAAGATGAATATTTCAGCCGCAGTAAAGAATCGACGTTGGCGGATTTTGGTTCTTGACATCCTTTACGATCGGTTACGATGCCTAGAGTACGGAGACCTGTACGATTTCGTCAACTTAGTGAGTTTGATAGGGGCCGTATAGTGGGACTTCGGGAAGCTGGACTTTCTTTTCGGGCAGTTGCAGTTAGAATGCAAAGAAGTGTGGACACTGTGGTTAGGTGTTGTCAGGCATGGCTTCGAGAAGGCCATACGCAAAGAGCAAGGGGCACTGGACGCCGCCGTAGAACAACAGACCGTGAAGATCGCCGCCTAAGATTATTGGCCTTAAGGGACCGTTTCTCTACTACCAGGTCCATTGCAAATGAATGGTTTGCAGAACACGGAAGACCTATTGGCATGCGAAGTGTTTACCGACGAATGAGAAGTTTTGGCTTGTTTTCATACCGGCCACACTGGGTCCTCCCTTTAACTCGAGAACACCGACGTAATCGCCTTGAGTGGTGCAGACAACGGTCACTCTGGGATCAGGAATGGAACAGTATTGTCTTTAGTGACGAGTCTCGATTTTGTTTAGGCATGCACGATGGTCGTGCCAGGGTTAGAAGGCGACGTGGTGAAAGGAGGAATCCACAGTTTTTTGTTGAAAGACATGTTCATCACACTGTTGGAGTTATGGTTTGGGGTGCTATAGCTTATGGTTCCAGGTCACCTTTAATCTTCATCAGAGGTAACATGAACGCGCAGCGTTATATCCACGAAGTTCTAGAACCCCATCTTTTACCCTATCTTGACACCCTGGCAGATCCAACTTTCCAACAAGATAATGCCCGACCACATGTTGCAAGAGTCACAATAGACTTCTTTCAACATAATCATGTCACATTGTTACCATGGCCACCAAGATCTCCCGACTTATCCCCAATTGAGCACGTGTGGGATATGATGGGTAGGAGATTGCTCAATTTGCAATGACCTCCTCAGACTCTAGAAGCACTTCGAGAGAAGTTGGTGGTTGCCTGGAATGAGATACCACAGGAGGACATTGACCACCTAATCAGAAGCATGCCTAGGCGCGTTGGAGAATGCGTAGCACATCAGGGTGCATCCACACATTATTAAAGGTCAAAGGGCTTTAAAGCAGTGCAATCATTTTGAAATTTTTATCATTTACTTATTATGCTTCATTAAGTACTTATACAAAATTTTATTAAAATAAAACCATTTAAACTGGGTGTTCGGATTTATATGTCACTTAGTATACATTAAAACTCCTCCAGCTTCCTGCACTTCTGGATAACATCATTTTCACGGCAATACTTCGATCATCGCGGACACTCAAATCGCAAAATATTCAGCAACTATTGCTGCGATATCAGGAATACCAAGGCACTATAAAAATCTACGGAAAGCATAAAACGCCAATAGCCATAAATTCCATGGGATTATAGGGTGGAAGAGTGTAAATTGCGCTCTAATCCTTGGCCCGATTGAATATTAATATTTGCCGGGATATTGAATTTAAATAAGGAAATATGTGTTGGCCGGACCGGCGCCACCGGTGCAAAAATACTGCTCACAGATGCATCGGCTACTGCAGTTATGAACATGTTTCATGCATAAAAGTGGCGGAATGCAGTTATTTGAACTCGGGTGAACGGATGCGTGACCTGTATTCTTCTCCATTTATATGTTAGCATAGAGATGTTGGAACCACGAATTATATATTTCAAAATATTGTTTTCTTGACGTTTAATCTAGCTGTCATTAGTGCCTGTAATCAACAAGCGTTGCACTTTCTGCGCCACTTCGAGTTCCGTGACGATTAAACGTAGAATCCGTGAAGGCACAGGCGGACTTAGATTAGGCCCAGATGCAAAAGTCCGATGATTTTATCAAGAAAATGGTATTTAGAGTACAAACTCCCTTGCTATGCCTGCATGGTGTTGCCATCCCCCTAGACGTAACCCACCAGTCGCTGTTCAGTTATCATAAGGGCATTTAATTTGCTCTCAGAAGGGCTACCTAAGGGATGCAACCCAATGAACATAGATGGGTGGATTAGAAAAATAACAATTCTAACGAATTTTCCATCATGGCAAATATATTTCAATTCCCTGGGAACTGCCCGCGAGAAAATAGTGAATTTATCAAACTGATATCAGCTTTGTGCTTCGTATAATATACCATATTATAAATTTTAGACACTGTATCATCTTTATAACTTTGCAGCAAAAGCTTCTGATTATAAAACAAGTTCAGTTTTCAACTAACAGTCTGATTTAAATATTCATTTCACAGTACATAACACTTTGAAAGGATCTGGTTGTAGAAGTCTCTACAATTGTTCCGATTCAGTTATTGATATATCACTTATTTCTTCAGGTTATATATTTTCGTCAGGTAAAAGCATTACTTACAAACCAGAAACGTACGTCTTGCTCCGATACCCATGGTTACCCATTTGCCATAATCCTTCGGGAGATTCAAAGCTAACACTTACGGAAAGTCAAGCGCCTTGTAAATGCTTACCTGCAACAAAAAAAGAACGCATTATTTCAGTGTTGTGATGGAGTACACATGTATTTAATATGATGAACTTTTTAAAGGTAGGTACGCGTCTACATATCCGTATCACAGAAACCGAACTTTCACCACTCTGTTACTGAATAATGGTTTTTGTGATTCTCATTGGGCAGATGGCACGCATCATCGGCAGCTCGAAATAGAAGAGGATACTATTCCTAATCCAATGCGTACGAATGATGTCATAAAATCATTGAATGCACCGTGGATGTTAGATGAGCAGTTTCAGGACGAAAATCCGATTGCCATAGTAAATAAAATGCACCATACAGACGGGCAGGTCATGGACAATCCGGTTTCTGGGATACGATGGACGCACTGTTGTGAATTTCTCTGTTAGAAATTAATAGTCCAGTGCATGCAGTGAGAACGTATGGGCGAGTAGCTTAAGGCAAAGAACATATTATCCAGTAAAACTAGGCCATCAAACCTGTAGCGTGTAACAAGGAGTTAGTTTCTCCCTATAAGAAGTGGTGAACTGCAAAAAATCAAGAAGGTAACTTTGAAAAGTACGAGTGGGTTTAATGAGCCTACTTTCATTAGAGTGTTATTCAGACCTGAGAAGTATTCAAATAGTACTCAGTATTTTGAATCCTATTCAGAATACATTTGGGTATTTGGTATTCAACTGAATACTTTTTTGGTCACTACTCGCTATTCTTGAATCTGGATACAGTTTCTGAATCCCAATATTTGAATACCCAGTTTTTATCCAAATCCCAGTATTCGAGTACTGTATTGGAATCCTGGTTCCGAATACTGTTTGGCTATTTTTATGAATATTGAGTTACGCTTTACTCAATTTAAACGTTTTAAAACACGTTCGTGGTGGTTGAAGCTGGTACAAATAAAATAGCTGCGCAAAGTTATTTTGTTTGTGTAGACATTTTTGCTTATGAATTTACGATGCTGACAGGTCAATTAAAGAACGAGGTTGAATTACGTATGAACTTCTTGTGCTTGTGTACCATTGTCGTTCTATTTTATAACAATAATGAATTTCAATAACTGGTATAATTTGTGGGTAATACCAGATAGGGTGGATATATAAAAAAGGTAAGTTTATTTTTTAATTATGTAGGTACAATAAGAATTAATTTGTGTAACCTCACACTGGGTATGAAAATGTAATTTTATGTATTTTTTAATATTGTCGATTTTAAT